GTAAAATGAACCCGTTCCATCAGGACCTTTGAATCCTCCAACCGCTTTTGAACCCAAGCGTCCGCTCCAATGAAGGATTCATCCAGAGAGCGGCCCTCCCTTAGGGCAGAATGTGATCCTCGGCATCTGTGAGGGAACAACATCTGCACGGATGCTTTCCGACAATTGCAGCCGCCTGCGGCGTCTCCGGCAGCGGGCGGGGAAGCCAACAGAGGCTCTCCGTTTTCTCACGTGAATGCCCCAGGACACCTTGACGAACAAGAACAGGACAATCTGGCGGTATCACGGTATCACGGCTTGAACACTGCAAAGCACACTGGTTGTCAGGAGGCGCTGCATCGGAATTCGGGCCGGCCGTGTCACGCTGTCATGTCAGCCTGACAAACTTGAGGCATCTTCTCACTCAACAATAGATCCAGCGAAGCAGCATCTGTGTTCGCAAAGAAGCCGTAAGAGCAGGCAATGATTATTCGATGCTGCGAATAACGTGCCTTTTGCACAGTCGAGACACGAAATGATGGTTTTCTTACAACGCTTACCGCAAGATCACTCCAAGATACGCAGCCAGCCCCTGCAACTGCTAGATGAAGTCGGCGTCGATTGAGTCAAGGGAGTCGCTGCCTCGAGAGCGCCTCCGGGGTCCGGAGATGCCCAGTGCTGCAGTCCTGCATCCAGGCACCGCAGCCTCGTCGGCAACTTGCCAAGTCCACAGCGAAGCTGGTTGGCGACATGACAGAAGGAAGAAAGCCCGGGACTAACCAGGCTGGCATGGTCTGGGAGTGCTGAGATGCGTCTCGACCTCAATGGTTGTTTGGCAAGCTCCACAAGGCCTAACAAGCTGGAAACTCGGGCCGTTTGCCTTCACCAATTGCTGTTGCTTATCCCAGTAGAACGCGAGCGGCTCGGTGACATGTGTCAACACAAGCCTACAGGCTAGCTTTCTGATGACCCACACCAAGTCAGACCCAGCTGTGCAAGCTCTGCAAATGCAGTCCATTGGACTCAGCCCCGCTGGGAATCTCCAGCGCTGAGGTGCAAGCGCAAGGCAGAAGCTAGAGTTCTCCGCGCAGGCCGGTTTTTCAAACAAAGCCTTCAATGACATTCACACCATGGGAAAGAGGAGATCAATGTGCAGAGTGTGGCCTTGCAACACTGGCACAGGAGGCGCGAGTGCTGAAAAAAGCCCGAGCGCTGAAACCAGTCTGTGCCTTGATAGCGCTGATGGCAGGCTCAAATTTTAGCTTCAAACGCTCTCGCCGGCATCTGAGGGAACAACCTGCGGTCATCGCAAGTTTCCGCAAAGCAACAACACTCATTGTCCGTCCGTGGAGGAAAGAACGCTGATCATCAAAGCTTCAAGGACCGCGTGGTCCTTTGCAGTCGCTTGCGGCATCTCCGGCAGCCTCGCACTGGGAAATCAACACAGGCTCTCCATTTTCTTCCGGGAGTGCCCCAGGTCACAGTGAGGAACAAGAAGGGGACAGGCTGGCGTGCGTGACCAATTTGCAAATAAGGCCAGGAATGGCACGCAGGACACGGGGAAGAGGGTGTTAATGTGCGTGCGGGCCGTGTCACACGAAAGTCAAGCCCCCCCTCTTTGAATGGGGCGTTGTGCGGTTTTGGAGCGCAAACGCAGGTAGGCCACTGCACATGCGTGCGCATGACCATGCATAAGCGAGACAAGGCGTGAATCCGCAGACAAGCTTACCTTGGGATACACAGGAAAGCCTTTCGTTTACCGCCGCTCGTGAAAATCACAACGGCTTTGAAGATCCCGTATATGGCCTCCTTTTCGCATCATGGTCGTGAGCGCAATGGCGTTGATAATTGCGGTCGGACGGCAATCAATGGGCTCGCATTTGGCTCAGACAATGAATAACTCAGATTCAATGTCAAAGGTGTGGATTACGCCCATTTCACGCTTGTTTCACGGGCAAACGTCCCATTTCATGCGCAAGCTCGTCCATTCAAATGGTTATTAATTGTCTTCGTAACTTGCGTCAAGCTGGGGGTCACTGCACATACTGCGCATATGCAACTGGCGCTCATTTTTGCTAGGGGGGTGCAGCTCCAGGCAAAAGAGCGCTCGAGCGGATGCAGGATGGAAGACAAAGTGTTGTCTGCCATCATTCATCGACAAGCTTGGTCCCCAGTTTCTACTACAAACACACTGCAAGGTCAAGATGTCATTTTGGCTAGGTTGGCGCTAATTTGTCCCTGTGAGGGCAGGGTTGCCAGGTAACTTGAGGCGTCCTCCCGCGCAGCATCATATCCAGCGTGAAAACGCAGCCTTGTTTGGCAACGAGCCTTAAGACCAGCCAATGAAACTCGGATGCTGCGCGTAACACACCTTCTGCGCAGCAGTTCAAACGTGAACTCATGATGTTCTTTTACAAGCTTGCCCAATGTGCAACCTCTTACGAACTACCTTGGTACGCACGCAGCCCGTGCAGCAAATCCTAGACCAAGTCTGCATCACTGAGTTGAATCCCAAAGTGAG